TGTTAAAAAATTCGGCAGCACCTCCCCTGCACGGTGAGGTTTCCATAACCTGCAAACAAGAACGGCACGAAGGCTGACATTCACAACGGCACGAAGGCCGACAATGATGGGCAGCTGTAGCACTCGCACTAGCAGCAGGTCCACAACTGATGTCACTGGATGAATTTAGTGACTCTTTTTGAGAGTAGCAAGCTCAATCTGGATAGAATCAATTATGCTATGATAACTTTAATCCCAACAGAACCTGAGGCTAAAAACTTGAAGAAATTCAGACCAATTAGTCTCATTAATTGTAGTTTCAAGTTGTTCTCTAAGTTGCTCAATAACAGGTTGATTGGGGTTGCGGATAGGTTGATAGCTTCAAATCAAACTATCTTCATTAAAGGCAGATATATTCTTGAAAGCGTTGTAGCAGCACATGAAATCATTCATGAGGTGCGTAAGCAGAAAGATGCTGGGGTTATCCTTAAATTAGACTATGAAAAGGCATATGATAGGGTTAGCTAGAGTTTTTTGGAGGATATATATGCTTGGGTCTAGGGGCTTTAGCCCCAAATGGATTAGTTGGATTAGAAGTTTGGTTCAAGGTGGTTCAATTTGTATTAGAATGAATGATGAGAATAGCGTGTTTTTTAAACCTGGTAAAGGACTCAGAGAAGGAGACCCTTTATCTCCTCTACTTTTCAATCTAGTAGCTGATGTCTTCTCTAGGATGCTTATGAAAGCCGCTAGACAAAATTTGATTTCTGGTCTTCTTCCCCAAGTAATGGGTGGTGGAGTGGTCAGCCTGCAATATGCCGATGACACACTTTTGTTTTTAGAAGATGATATAGAAAAGGCACAAACGTTGAAATGGTTATTGGTCTGTTTTGAAAAGATGTCAGGAATGAAAATCAATTATGATAAAAGTGATTTGCTTACCATTGGCTTAAGCCCAGATAGTGCTAATAACTATGCAAAAGTTTTCTGCTGCAAGCTAAGTGATTTCCCAATCAAGTATCTTGGTGTGCCTTTGCAATTTACCAAATTAAGAAGAGTTGATTTACAACCTGTGATAGATAAGATAATTAAAAGAATTGCTGGGTGGAGGGGAAGATTGCTGTCTTATGCTGGCAGGCTGATTCTAGCTATTAAGAGCATGCCTTGCAAGTATTCCTATATACCTTCTATCCATGATAAAATTCCCTAGATGGGCTATTGACATGATCATCAATTCTCAAATGGGACACTTTCTGTGGAATAATACTGAGGATAGGCATAGATACCATCTAGCAAATTGGCAATTGGTTGCTAAAAAAAAGACTTTGGGGGCCTGGGGATTCCTGACTTAAGAAGCTTAAATTTGTCTTTGCTATGTGCCTGGATTTTCAGATACCATTTAAATTCTAATGCCATCTGGGTTAGGATTTTGGATTCTAAATATAGAACTAAAAATCCTAACATTCTCTGCTGTCCGGATGTGGGGGCTTCTCCTTTTTGGAAAGGGGTGCTCTGGGCTGCACAGGCTGCCCATATGGGTGTCAAATGGATTGTGGGCAACGGAAGGAAGGAAGATTTTGGGAAGATATTTGGTTAGGAAATACCAGCCTGGCCATTTTATATTGGCCGCTTTATGTAATTAATGAGCAGCAGGGTAAAACTGTTAGTGATGTTTGGGATGGTGTAAACCTTAGGTTGACGTTTCGAAGAGCTGTCTCAGAGAATATCATGAACCTTTGGTGGGAACTGCTTTCTCTGTTGGATGAGGTCTCTCTCTCTGAAGAAGAGGATCATATTGTATGGAACTATACCTCATCTGGCAGATATGAAGTCCAATCTTTGTATGCGGTGATCTCCTTTAGAGGAGTAGCTCCAATCTATGTTAGTTCTGTTTGGAAGTTGAGTATACCTCCTAGGGTACAACTTTTCTTGTGGCTGGTTTCTAATAACAGAGTTTTGACTAGAGATAATCTAGCCAAAAGGCGGGAAGTAAGTGATCCTACATGTTTACTGTGTAATGAGATGGAATCTGTTACTCATCTCTTTTTCGAGTGTTGTGTGGCCAAGTTGTTTTGGTCTTCGATTTCAGATCTGCTGGGTGTGAACCTGGGGGAAAGTTTTGAATCTGCAGCTCGTCTATGGCTGGCCAATAAAAGACATGAACTAACTAATGTGTTTTCTTCGTCTGTGATTTGGTCAATTTGGAAACTAAGGAATGAAATCTGCTTTCAGGGAGTGCCGTGGACTGGGATCAGACGTTTGTTGTTGATGGTGGTCAAGATGACAAGAAGATGGGTGCCGATGTTAAAGTAGGAGCTAGGAAGGCAAGTGGAAGAGCTGACAGATGGCCTGGAGAAAGAAGCATTACTGCCGCGGCGGATCGAGTGGAACACGCAGGGGGAGTCGTCATCACAGTTGGGACAATTGGCTGCTCTGCATTCGGACCCCAGCGCTGAGTTTGGAGGGCCGAAATGATCATGTCTGTAATGACGAGTTGAGGGTTAACTCTATATCCTGCCGTGAGGCTTTCATGTAGGACGGGCGCGCCGAAAAACGCTGAACTACATACATATGTTCGGATGTGGACTACCAAGTACCATGCTCAAACTGGTATTCTTGTGTTTTTTTCATACATCCAGCATTTTTCCAGGCTACTTAAAAAAACAAACTCTAATATGTTTGTTGGGCCACAATATAGCAATACTGATCAAAGTGTAATTCCATTTAACAATCGATATAATACTGTAAGTAGGATTCAAAGGTTTCATGCACAAGTAGTTAAATACACATTTGACAATATAAGTTTATTTTTTTCGCCACTAGGGCGACACCACCAGCAGTTCAGCAACTATAGATTGATGGGCAGCGGCGGCGTACCTCGTCGACCGGGAGCGGATCGGCGCGCTGGCTCTCGGTCTTGGTGTGGGCGGGCGCGCGGCGGCTCTCTTGGCCTTGGCCACGAGGTGCTTCGGCGGCACACTGCTCCTCGCTCAGGACTTGCTCCGGCCGCGCAGCTTCCCAAGTCTGGCTGTGCCGGGTGCGGGACGCTGGGGGCGCGCAGTGAGGGACGCCGGGGGAGCCCAGTGAGGGATGCTAGGGGCGGGCAGTCTTGAGACGACAGGGGCGGGCGCCCGGCGGCGGGCGCGCCTCGAGAGGCAGTGGCCGGTGGTGGTGGGTGGAAGAGGGGGGCGTGGGGGCGGGGGCGGCGCCAGTGGGAGCTGAGGTTGGGGGAGGGGCGGCCAGGCTCGGGGCGGCGCGTAGGCGGGGCGGCCAGCGGCGTGGCGGGCGGGCGGCGAGGTGAGCGGCGGCGGGGGTAAAGAACCGAGCACGGGCACGGGCCGGAGGGAAGAAGAGGGATTTTGGGCCGACGTCGGTTTTTTAGGTTTTGGGTCTTTGCAGAAGGCCCAGATCCAGGGCCCTCGGCAAAGATGTTTTTATTTTTTTGGGGTTTCTTTGCCGAGTGCCCCTCGCCCAGCACTCGGCAAAGACAATCTTTGCCGAGTGACAAGCTGGCACTCGGCAAATTTTCAGTTTTTTTTTGTTTTTTTGACCCCAAATTTTTTGTTGGGCCCGCCTACATTGTTTACAACTTCATGTTCAAATTTGGTGCTTTTTCTAGTTTTTTTTGTTATATTTGGTTGATTAATTTGATTATGTTGAATTTTTATATATAATTCAAATTTGAACTACAAGTGCATGGAATATTGTAATCTAGTGCTTGAAAATGTTATTCATGGTATTTAAATGTATGTTGAGTCTCTATCCACGAACTTCGCATCAAATTTAGCGCATCTTCTTCACGTAGATGTCTTGCGTTTTATGCATCCATCGACGTCAAAACTTGTTGCTCAAACATTCTCAATTTTTACCACAGCACGTACACATGCGATAAACATGACACATCTCGAAAGTTTCGAAATTTTCGAAACTTGTTTCAGATGGACTTTATATTTATATAATTTTCAAACACTTTTCCGCAAGTGGCTCAAAATGTTACGTGAAGAAGATGCGCGAAATTTGATACGAGTTCGTGGATAGAGACTCAACATACACCAAATACCATGAATAACATTTTTCGAAGCACTAGATTACAATATTACATGCACTTGCAGTTCAAATTTGAATTATATATAAAAATTCAACATAATCAAATTAATCAACCAAATATAACAAAAAAAAACTAGAAAAAGCACCAAATTTGAACATGAAGTTGTAAACAATGTAGGCGGGCCCAACAAAAAATTTGGGGTAAAAAAAAAACTAAAAATTTTCCGAGTGCCAGCTTGGCACTCGGCAAATACTGTCTTTGCCGAGTGCTGGGCCACGGGCACTCGACAAAGAATTTTTAAAAAGAAAATTTTCAAAAACGGTTAAAAAGTCTTTGCCGAGGACCTAACGGTGATGCCCTCGGCAAAGATTGACGGCAGGTGATGGAAGTCGTGTCAGGCGGTGTTGCCGAGGGCCGGCCCTTCAAAGAATTATTGTTGCCGTGTGCTTGAACAAAAAATTTAGGGTAAAAAATAAACTGAAAATTTGCCGAGTGCCAGCTTGGCACTCGGCAAATACTGTCTTTGCCGAGTGCTGGGCCACGGGCACTCGGCAAAGAATTTTTAAAAAGAAAAATTTCAAAAACGGTTAAAAAGTCTTTGCCGAGGGCCTAACGGTGATGCCCTCAGCAAAGATTGATGGCAGGGGATGGAAGTCGTGTCAGGCGGTGTTGCCGAGGGCCGGCCCTTCAAAGAATTATTGTTACCGTGTGCTTGTCTTTGCCTGTTCTTTGCCGAGTGCCCGACCATTTGCCCTCAGCAAATCCTTAGGCCCTCGGCAAAGATGCTCTGTCCCGTAGTGATAGCCTCCCTCTGCATGCCAGTCTTCAGCTCCTTCGGCTGGTTCGGCAAGGTTAGTTGTAAACTACTCCCGCTTATTGCCCAGTCGCCTCTCAAGTGGCGGATTAAATTCAGATTAGTATCTTGTGGAATCGTGTGATGTTCTTTACACATTTTGGTTACAATGTCAATGTCATGGCTGCAGATGGCGGGGATGCGCACCGCGTAGCTGCTGCGCTCGTGGTGCTCGTCGCTGTTGCTGGAGTTGCTGTGGTGTCGGCGCAGGTGCCGCCGCCGCCGGTGACGACTGCGCTGCTGCAGCAGGTAGCCGGGTCGCTGCAGATGTACGTGGACCCGCTGCCGCAGATGGCCAAGATCCGCGGCTACGGCTTCCAGCAGGGCCGCGTCGTGCCCGTCAACCTCACCGTCGGCATGTTCCAGAAGAAATGGGTACGTACGTACATAGACGACAAAAAGAACTACTGCTACTTGACACAAGAAATGTTGTCGACTTGCTAATGCAATTTCACTCAACGCCGGCAGAAATTCCACCGCGACCTGCCGGAGACGCCGGTGTTCGTGTACGGCCAATGCGCCGACTCCGCCACGTTCCCGGGCCCCACGATCGTCGCGCGCCACGACGTCCCGCTGTCCGTGACGTGGGAGAACCACCTCCCCGACAGCCACATCCTGCCGTGGGACCCCACCGTGCCCACCGCCATCCCAAAGAACGGCGGCGTGCCCACCGTCGTGCACCTCCATGGCAGCGCCCACCCGCCGCAGGACGACGGCAGCGCCTTCGCCTGGTTCACCGCCGGGTTCCGCGAGACCGGGCCCGCGTGGACGCAGGCCACGTACCGGTACCCCAACGTGCAGCCGCCGGGCAACCTGTGGTACCACGACCACGCGCTCGGCCTCACCCGCGCCAACCTCCTGGCCGGCCTCCTCGGCGCCTACGTCATCGAGAAGCCGGAGATCGACGTCCCCATGGACCTGCCCTGCGACGACGACGACCTCCACATCGTCGTCGCGGACCGCAGCTTCAACGTCGACGGCTCGCTGTACATGAACTCCACGGGCGTCGCGCCATCCGTCCACCCGCAGTGGCAGCCCGAGTACTTCGGTGAGGCTGTCACCGTCAACGGCAAGGCGTGGCCGTTCCTTACCGTCCACCGTCGCCGCTACCGCTTCCGGATCCTCAACGCCAGCAACGCGCGCTACTTCAACGTCTCGCTCTCCAACGGCATGCCCTTCCACGTCGTCGGCTCGGACGCGTCGTACCTCGCCGGGACGGTCACCGTGTCCAGCCTCCTTATCTCCCCGGCCGAGATATTCGACGTAGTCGTCGACTTCTCGGTGTCGCCGACGGCCGAGGTCGAGATGCTCAACTCAGCGCCGTATCCGTTCCCGAACGGAACGGCGCCGGGGCCGCTCACCGGTAAGGTGATGAAGTTCGTGATCACCCCGAACGGACCGCTCGACCCGCCGGACAACTCGACGGTGCCGGACCGCGAGGTGCCGTACGCCAACGTGGCGTCGCTGGGGCCGACGTCGGAGACGAGGTACATCGTGATGTACGAGTACCAGACGCCGTCCGGGCAGCCGACGCACCTCTACATCAACGGGCTGCGTCTGGAGGACCCGGTGACGGAGACGCCGAGGTCGGGCACGACGGAGCTGTGGCACGTGATCAACCTCACCGGCGACAACCACCCTCTGCACATCCACTTGGGCATGTTCCAGGCCTTCAAGATGCAGCAGCTGGTCGACCTGCAGGCGTTCACCGACTGCATGACGCAGCTCAACGACGCCGTCAAGTGCGGCGTCGACCAGCACGCGGTCGGGCCGGTGGTGCCGGTGCCGGACCACGAGAAGACGTGGAAGAACGTGGTGAAGGTGCCGCCGGGGTTCGTGACCACGGTGGTGGTGGCGTTCAAGCTGGTGGACACCAACCAGCCCTACCCCTTCGACGCCACGGCGGAGCCAGGATACGTCTACCACTGCCACGTAAGTGTCACATGAATGTTCCCTTGATTCATTCATGTATCCGCAAAGATGCTGATGTGATGTCGTGGTCTTGTTCAGATCCTGGACCACGAAGACAATGCCATGATCAGGCCACTTAAGCTGCTTCCCTCCTTGAAGAGATTCGCAGGATCCAACGAGTTAATGATGATCGATGAGCAGTAGTTGCCGAAGAGGAACTCATAATTCCGGATTGGAAGAGCCACGAACGCAAATATTCATTATTATTTATATTTCATGCCCATATAGATCATATCCACTTGTTTTATATGTAAATTTCAATTTATTCTATTTCTTTTGTAAGCATTAGATCATATACTGTTTTCTTTCATGCCCATATACACGAATTATCGTCTATCGTATTTGATTATAAGAAGTAAAATAATATGTACAAGCATTCTTTGATCCAACAGTACGTGAATTCTTCTGTTTTCTACTCTCGTTTGCTGTCAACTTATAATTATACCAGTTAAATAATATTAAGCTAATTTGATATGTAACAAGTTAAACATTAATGTCCAAAACATTTTAATCAATCAATGTATAATAAGAATATATGAGACTAACCTAGGAGGAATTAGGTGTTTTTTTTACTAAGAAAATAAGGACCTAAAATCGAGTTTAAGAGGACTCAATGGATGGATGATCATACCTCCCATAAACCAGTTGAGTTAGGCTCACTTTTTGAACAATCATAGGGATTGAATCAGACAGCAAGATCATAATGCTCGGTATTGTAAAATCGTAGATGCTACTTGACAAAATCATAATTTATAGTAGCAACACATTTTAGGCACATCGAAGTTTTAGTAATCCATACCCAGAGTCGCCAGGCATAAGTTAAAGCCGGTCAATGGTGCTGCACGATCAAATATCAACCAAGAATTGCGCTCACATCTGTATCATGCAAGAACAGCAAGCTTCTCCTTCGTCATGCAACGACAGGAGAATAATCACGACTGAACCCCACACAACTTAACGATAATATTAGCCAACCACTGTCTGCCACTCTTCATTAGGAGTTAATTAAAAGCGACGATCCAATGCTACTAGTATCAAGTTTATATGGCAAATTTGCCTATAAAAAAAACTTATATGGCAAACTCAGGAGAGCGCAGGCAGAAGAACCCACCAACTAATTGGCTCAACGCTTTCTCTTGTGAGTCTTCAACTGCTCCATGATGTGCTGGACAGCTTCCTTCGGTGTTGCTTTACGGCCCTCCTTGTAGTAGCACAGCTCTGGTACAGGATTGCGGCCACTAGGATTGTACTCATTGATCTCAAGCAGTGCCTTTGTTACCAACCCATAAATTTCTTCACCGTGCTCTTCTTTCAGCTCCCGGAGCATCTCATCGTCCTCTTTAAGAATTTCCTAAGCCAGAGAATACCCACTAGATGTTACCATGTATCATGTAACCACTTCCAAAACTGCAAGCCCACTAAACGGATGACTCAGTATTATAAACAGGCAGAACAGGCAGATAGCAATTGTAAGTGATCAAGGGCCATACCATTCCTTTCCCATCCACCACTTTAACCTTAAAAGGGTACCAGTTTGGGTTTCTAATTTCTTCTCCCCACTTTGAACAAAGGAGAGCAGCAGTGACTTCCGCATCCTCTTTTGATAACCTTTTCCTGCAAGCGATTCCGAATGCTTAGAGATGAAGCTCACCCATTCTCTTTATACCTATATTAGCTCGGCCAACAACAGGAAGCTCCTCAAAGCCCTGCAAAGCATTCAACAAACCAGTAAGAGAACGTGCATGACATATGACGCCAAAGCAAAGGATACCTAGATGCCATCATTGATTTGAGACAGCACAACAGAGCATAATATTGGATAGCTGGTCAATCAATGTGGTAGCTTACATCTATCAGCTCCTTCCGAGCGTCTTGCAACTCATCGTTGCCCTTCCGTAGCTTGATAATCAGAGTTTGGTTCAGACAATCGATATCTTCCAGTTCATCGACCTTTTCATGCAGCCACACAGCGAGTTCATCCATCTTCTCCTTTGACTCAGAATCCTGCTCACCTGGCATATGCTTCATAACTTTCATATTGCTTTCCAGCGTTTGAATTTTCAGTTCAAGCTTCTGTTTGGCATCCAATATTTGCTGTTGTAACCTGAGAATCTTTCCTAGAGCAGCTTGTTTCTCCCTCTGCATTTTCACACAGTAACACACTCATAGATATTAGTTTCTCAAGAAATAACAAGAAACAATACAGATTTGACCTTGAACCAGACCTTTAGTTCTTCAACAAGATCAAGCATGTTCTCGTCGGCCTTCTGTTGCTCCATTGTTGCCATCATAAGATGCTTAGTTTTAATTTTGTTCTGCACTCAGTCACAAAAAAGTCTGGCATAAGTTGTATGAATAGCATACTACAGAGAAATTACAATAGCACCCAACATCTCATCACTAGCATCATCATTGAATGCACGGACGGAGCTATGTGGGGGCCAAACTGGGTCCAGGCCCCCCCTTCTCCGGCTGCACTCTACAGGTTTGCATATCGCTGCATGTATGTAATTAATTCCTGCATCTCTCGTACCATGCATGTTGTTGCTGATCAGTGGATCACAGCTTACAAGTATATAAATCCGTACATTGTTTATTCTTCTTGGATAGAATTTCAATTGTTCATTGCATTATATATAGATAGAACTTGAAAAAAACAAAGATTTTCCACAGAATTCCAATTGTCTGTACTGCTATTGGTAATTACTGTAGCAGTGTACCTTTGAATTGGCCCCCCCTACACATTCATGCAAGCTCCGTCGCTGATTGAATGCAGTCCAACAAACTAAAATGTTGTTATCTATCTACTGCCCAAAATTAATGATGGCACGGTCACAGTGCCCAAGGTTAAGGATGGTAAGGCCATATAGAAATTTAGACCCATTTGGTCATTGAACAGGTATAGATAGAATGTCATTGGACAGGTATAAATGGAATTATCACCAGTAAAATGACAAATCAGCCGGCTTTTATACATGGAAGATACACCACAGAAAGGTATCAATGTTGCAAGATTAAATAATCAACATGTGTAGGTATTGGTGCTATCCTTTAGACTATAGGGTAAGTCCCAAATCTGTTGAGAAAAATAAATTGCTGAATCTAGTGGTATCTTTTATTCTACTTGCTTTTGGACTAACACATGAGAAGTATTTCACAAACAGGAAAAGTTTTGGAATGAACATCGATGTGTAGTAGATATACGACAATTTGCGGGGGGGAAGGCTTGCCTCGGTTTTTCCCTTCCCCAGACCCCACTCATGTGGGAGCCTCCGGTACTGGGTCTGCCCTTGTATAGTAAAGATGGTGAGCATGATCTTTATTTTCAGATGGCCTAAAATAGAAAGGTCAATGTTTTTAGTATGGTGATAGATGGAACTTCAAAAGACAGACTAGTAGTATGGTTGAGTGATAGTCTTATCACTTGCTCTGAGGCTTTGGTTGTTTAACTGGAAGTACCTATCCATAGACACATGTAGATTGTTTATCAGTTTATTTGTATGAAACTAGTGTGAATGATTCCCCTCCTGTTATATAAGAGGAGTAGGACACAATGCAAACTTGCAAACTCTACATTTTCCCTGCATTTTACCCTAGATAGCTACTGGTTGAGTGATAGTCTTATCACTTGCTATGAGGCTATGGTTGTTTTTCTGGAAGTACCTATCTATAGACAAATGTCGATTGTTTATCAGTTTCTTTGTATGAAACTACAAACTAGAGGGAATCATTCCCTTCCTGTTATACAAAGAGGAGTAGAGGACACAAAACAAACTCAAAAACTTCCCTACATTTTACCCAAATCCCTTATCACTAACCAAATTCAACTATAATATGAAAACATTATGTAAGAGATGTACTAATAGAATCAAATCCTAGGTACACAAAAGGATGTTGTTATGCATTCCCTAGAAAAGGAATGTTGTTATGCACTCCCTACCAAATTCCAAATTCTTAACACAAGGAAGCGACAGACTAGCAATAAACCATCACACCTTTACCTTCTCTTGCTGAAGATTCCTTTTGTCGTAATCCCTTTGCAAAGCTATGTCATCAAGCTCCTTGGATCTTAAGCGAAGTTCCTGCATCTTGTGAGTCTTCCACTGCTTCATGATATGCTGTACGGCTTCCTTCAGTGTTGCATTTAGGGCCTCCTTGTAGTTCCACAGCTTTGGTACAGGATTGCGGCCACTAGGATTGTACTCATTGATCTCCAACAATGCCTTTTTTACCAACTCATAAATTTCTTCACCATACTCTTCTTTCAGCTCCCACAGCATCTCATCGTCCTCTTTAAGAATTTGCTGAGCCAGAGAATACCCACCAGATGTTACCATGTGTCAAGTAACCACTTGCAATACTACAAGCCCACTAGTGTGAAACTGATGACCCAACATTATAAACACATAGAACTAGAGAAGAAGATAGCAACTGCAAGAGATCAAGGGCCATACCATTTCTTTCCCATCCACCACTTTGATCTTAAAAGGGTACCAGCTTGGGTTTCTAATTTCTTCTTCCCACTTTGAACAAAGGAGAGCAGCAGTGACTTCCGCATCCTCTTTTGATAACCTTTTTCCTGCAAGCGATTCCAAATGCTTTGAGATCAAGCTCACCCATTCTCTTCATACCTATATTAGCTCGGCCAACAATAGCAAGCTCCTCAAGGCCCTGCAAAGCATGCAGCAAACCAGAAAGAGAATGTGCATGAGATATGATGCCAAAGCAAAGGATACCTAGGTGCCATCATTGATTTGAGAAAGCACAAGAGCATAATATTCGATAGCTGGTCAATCAATGTGGTAGCTTACATCTATCAACTCCTTCCGAGCGTCTTGTAACTCATCGTTGCTCTTCTTTTCCTTGATAATCAGGGTTTGGTTCAGAAACTCCATTGGTTCCAGTTCATCTACCTTTTGTTTCAGCTCCTCAGCGAGTTCATCCAATTCTTGTCGTAACCTGAGAATCTTGCCAGGAGCAGCTTGTTTCTCCCTCTGCATTTCCACGCAGTGACACTCTCATAGATATTAGTTTCTCAAGAAATAACATGAAACAATACATATTTGACCTTGAAATAAACCTTGAGTTCTTCTACAAGCTTAAGCATGTTCTCGTCGGCATTCTGTTGCTCCATTGTTGCCATC